TTTGCTTTTAGGAGAAAAGGCAAAAAGCAAAACTAGCAGTCAGGATTTGTGTTGCAGCGAGCTGTTACAAAGGCAGCACGTACCCCCAGCAGCGAGCGTCCCCCCGCCAAGCTCTTTCTCCGGAAACTACACTCAGCATCTCAGCATCCAGCCGCCATAGCTCTGAGCTGTGTCTGTGAGCATCTGTGCTCTATCTTGACTTATTTTGTGCCTCCGTTAGCAAGATGTGTCCTAAGGTATCAGAAAAGCCTAAGAGAGGTGATTTCTTCCGTCTGAGGATGCGCAAAAGTTTTTCCATCATAATGAATGTGATTGCTTCTCCGCTTTATGACATTTCAGCTTCCTAAAGGTTTCATAGGAACGCTCTACTTTTGGATAGAGGGAGTGGGGTGCTGTACTTGTAGCCTCTTTTCCTGATGTTTTGTGCTTTTTCTGGCCTCTCCCTTATCTCCCTGCACTTGCATCGATATTGTCTGCATTGTCTACCAGTCACAGATGTGAACATTTCCCTTTTCTCTGCTGATACTATCCCCACATCACAGGGAAGAGACAGGCTGTGGTCCTGGAGTGGAAGTGATAACTTCGGAGCTGGGAGATACTCCCTATGACATTCTACGTTAGATTGCTTTGAGCCTGTGCTTCCTGTGTCCAGGCTGGGATCTCAGTTCTCTCTACCTCCATTTCTCTCAGTGAAGTCTTCTTTATTAAACAACCCCCCACTCATTCTCCCCTCTGTCAAATGTCAGCTTACCAACTGGGAATCATTACTTTGTGGTTTGTGTTTAACCTCTGCCGTTCCCAGCCCAACTTTCAAGAAATGTGGTCTTCATATCATTCCCATCTGGGACCTTTTAGCATTTAGGAGGCTGCACAGCATGGGGCTTGAGTAAGAACTCTGGAGCCAGACTGCCTGGGTTCAAATTCCAAATCTTGCATTAACTACCTCTGTAACGTGGGGGACGGTTATGTCCCTATGTCCTGGTTTCCTGCCTGTTTGACCAGGATTATGATGGTGACGATGGTGGTGGTGGTTTCTCTCTTTACAGAATAGTTGGAAGGATTAGCGAGTTAACATACAAGTGTTTAAAATAGTGCCTGGGACTCAATAAACATTAGCTGTGTAAAATTTTCTATATGCCCCACAGGAAATGCATCTTCAATTAAACTAATCTCTATTGTCTTCGACAGATACATTCCAGCGGATAAGAGGAAAGGGGAGGCGTTCCTAGTGACCATGCAATAGAAAAAGGCTTTTTAGGATTGCCATAAAAAAGAGGAGAAAAGAAGCGACAACTTCATGGTACTCTATGAGTTGCCGCATGTTTTCATTTACTGTACAGGACACGGAGCTTGGCCCTTAGGGGATACAGGAAAGGTTTAGAAACTGTCTTTGACAGCTGGAAAGGAAAGCCATTTTTTATGGGTCACTCAACTAGTAAAGGGACGTTCTGGACTAGAATACTGGTTTTCTTCCTGATATCCGAGTGCAACTCAGTATGTTCTTTATTAGTTAAAACAAATGCATAAGAAGCAAACAGCCAAGAGTCCAGTTCAACACAAAGCCCTTCTGAATTGAGTACAATTCACTTTTCCCTCTGTCTTTCAACTGCTCCAGCGTGTTCACGTTTCCAGAAACATCCATAGGAGAAGGGCATTGATTGATTCGCCATAGTTGGGGAACAGCAATGAACTGCTGAAAGTGACTTTGGTGAAGTCAGCAAGGGGAAGCTGCCGCATACACGAGAGAATAATAATATTTTCCTTCTGAAGAGGGCAGTGTGCAACCGAGGCCAGGGCTTCCTTCCAGGTCTGGAAGGCCGGAGGCAGTGTAGCCCTCAGAAGCCCAGGCATCTTGGGTTTCCAAGAGCTTATTTCTGAATCACCAACACGTCTTCAGACATGAAACGGGATTCTTGCGGTTTGAGCAGTTACACACTCCCTGTCATCAGAGGGTACACAGTGCAAACTGATACTAAGTCAGTTATGCAAGATGGATGGGAGAAGCCCCAACCAGTTCTTTTTTTCCTGCGCTTGTGCTTGTCTTCCCCCCTTGCAATGGGCCTCTATGAAATTAAACAATGGCTTGGCATCCCAGATGGTCTCTGATGTTTGCAGGAGAAAGTGTTTCTTTTTCTGCTAAGACGTGTGTGTAATATAGTTTCTACAGCCTAAAGCAAAATACCTTTTCCCAAACAACGTTGCATAGAAATAAAGTGTTGGGAATGGGGATCTTATCTCCTAGGGTGCATTTATCAAGCCAATCACAGTAATTATAATTAGAACCACAAACTAAGTGAAAGCTGAGCATGAAATACATTTGCAGAAAACCTGAACTGCATATAATTAAGCCCTGCTTGGTGTCATTTTGAGGTATGCCATTAATATATTTTATTCTGCGGGTGAGGGAGATTGATTTTTTCATCTAAATATCTTGGGCTATTTGCATCAAAGGCTTCAATGGCAGTTAAGAAGAGGAAGAACGATGCACATTATTAATTGCTAAACCCAGGGCTTTGAGACAGATATCCAAAGGTAGCTTAGCTGATTATTTAAAACATCCCATCAATTACGTTCATTGGGTATTAATTTAACCTAGGTCTGTTTTAGGGAAGTGAACAAGAGACTTGAAGATTTTGGAGGAAAATATAGCTTCAACTTCTAGCCTCAGCTTTGGACACGCACTAACTTAAGAGTGCTGACCATCCTTCCATGATTACCCAATGCCCAGGAAAGCAAGCTTCTCCTTAGGGAACATTTGCTCAGGTGTCACCTCTTTGATAAAGTCCTTCAAATTTTCCCCTCCCCTAAACCTGGGCTCTTTCAGCCATCACACTTACCTTACTGGTTTTTAACTTTATTTATTTATGTGGTCTTTCTCCCCTGCTAAACAGTGACCTCCTCGAGGTCAGCAATTTCACCTTTTAACCCATGTCTCCAGCACCCAGTACATGACCTAGTACAGGATAGGTGCTTGGAAAACACTGAATTAAGAGTGACAAAAATAAGTAAGTGGATTAATAAATGAATGCTCTGTCTTTCCGGGGTCAGCTCAAACTACTCCATCAGGTGATATCCCAGCTCTCTCTCTCTCCCAGATAGAAGTTTGCAGTGGCAATTTCACACTGTTTTTAGGGAAAATAAAGCTTTCTATAGGAGAATCCTTTAGTAGAGTCAACTTGATTGGAAGGGATTTGTGTATGGGGTAGGGGAGGAGCTTCTCTGAGCTCTCAGAAAACCACCTTTGAATAAAAGCACAGGGATTTTTTATTTACTTAGCTCATACTTGGGGATGTGGGATAGGAGAGGAGACCTCTAGGCCACACCTTGGAATACCTTCCCATTTTGTCTTGGGATGGGAAGGCACAGAATGCTTTTCTTCCCAACCCCTTCATATATATTAAAAAAAAAAATTTTTTTTAGATAATTGTAGATTCACACGAAGTTGTAAGATATAATACACAGACATCCCATGTTTACCCCTGTGTTGACAAGATAACAACTAGTACATTAACATTGACCCAATCCACCCATCTTACTCAGATTTCATCAGTTTTGCACGCACCCATTTGTGTATGTGTTCCTGTGAGTTCTGTACACTTCTCTTTCTGAAAGCGGGTTTCCCGCCTACCGAAGACCAGACAGTGGTCCATTCTGATCTACCCTTGCGCCGGAGTTGGCTCCGGCAGGCTCGGGCAGATGCATGCTTGTATAGATCTCTTGCATCCAGTAGGTGCCCAGCATAAACGCTTGAACTTGTATGTCAGCGCGTGCAAGAGGGGAGCGCAACGTTTTAAGGTAGAAAACCGACCTTGGGGCGTTCAGTATTTTAGAAGCAAAAAGTTGGCTATTTTCCTCCAGAATTGTGAATTAGCTAGGTGGTTAATTGCTCCAAAGCGATTCTGAGGCACACGCTTCGACCGCAGAAGAGCCTAGGCTCGGAGCCCATCTTATCTCAACTCGCGGCGGGAGAGGTGGGGAGGGGGACTCGCAGGGCCCCTGTAGCTCCTCCCACCCCAACCCCCACCTTCACCCCTTTCTTCCCCTGGGCTGGACTGTTTCACCCCGTCTCCAGGCAACCGCCAGGCGCGATGCGGGACGTCATTTCCTGAAGAGCC